TTTATTTACATCATTCCCTAAAATATAGCATATCATGTATTACATTTTGCTATACAGTGCTGAGTATTGTCAGTATTCTACAGGGTTTTAAGGAACGTGGAGAACATGTATGTGTTACAGCACTATAAGACACAGTGTCATATAAGGGCTTGATTAGTTTCAGATATTGGTGCTCAGGAGTCTGGGAAAAATTCTAGGGAAATGCTGAGACAACTGCACATAACAACACAACTCTGTGAGCCATGGCCAAAGATGTAAAGGAAGCAAGACACCTACTTTCCAAATTCACATTATCCAAGAATTTATCCAAAGTACAATGTGAAAGAACCAATCATAAATTCCAAAATTTTAAGTTCAATGTTGAGTTAGCAGAGCAGTCTGGAAAACAATCAATTTGGGTATAGCAGACAACAAAGATATCATCAAATATCAAGTATCAACATTATGGAATTACCACACAAAAAAGAGCAAAATTAACATATGTCTCAAATTTAAAAGGAATGCTGGACAGAGGTCAGAATAAGAAAATATATCCTTTTCAACTGGCATGGTGTAGCTACCCCATCACACAGTGTACCGGTTTCATAAAGGCACTTATATGTAAGATTGTATCCACACCACCGGTCTTCTACCATCTCATTGATCCTCTTTATTGACACAGAAGCCTTTAATTTGTTCACATCATATACACGCATGCAATTTTATTTTTACAGAAAAACCTAGGCCTTCAAATGAAAGAAATCACCTGGTCTTTTTCAATGTAACATTTGACATTTATCATGACAATTATATTCACTTACATCTATTTTCTCTTTTTGTTTTACATCTATTTTCTACAAATGATATAATCCCATGCTCCTTACCAGTTCACATAGTGTCTTATTTAGGGTCTCTATTGCTGTGACAACACACTATGATCATAAACAACTTGTAGAGAAAGAATTTATTTCAGCATACAATTTTCTTTTTACACTCAGTTTCCGGGGGAAGTCAGGACAGGGACTAAACAGGGCAGGAACCCAGAATCAGGAGGGGATGCAAGGGAGTGATGCTTGCTGGCTTGCTCACCAAGGTTCGCCTAGCCTGCTCTCTTACGGCACCCGGTGAGACCACCATAGGGGCAGCACTCCTACAGTGAGCTGGGCCCTCAGACATCAGTCACCAATGAAGAAAATGCATCACACGCTTGCCTACAGGTGAATCTGGTTGGAAACATTTTCTGAATGGAAATTTTCTCTTTCCAAATGACTCTGGTTTGTGACAAGTTAAAACAAAACAGAACAAACCAACTGAGCCAGCACATTTAGCTTTTGGGGGAAGGGGATTTCCAATCTCTATTTTAATTTTTGAAATTATAATTTAGTTACAACATTTTCTCTTCCCTTTTGGGGAAGGGAATTTAAATTTATCAAAGTACAAGTAACCTGAAAATTCAATATGCTAGGAATATGACCTTTCATGAAGTAAAAATCACACAGAATATTCTACTTCCTAAAATCTTTCCTGTTAATATTAAGCTTTTTGTTGTCTGGCAGTTTTATGTTTTATTGATGAGATGAAGGCTTAAGTCCAACAACTGAAATGCTACATTTCTTAGAAGTATGGAACTATATGAGAAAGTCACACAACTTCTGTGATTAGGATTCCAAGGAGGTTACAATATGTTTGAAATACCTGACCTTATTGCAACAGTAATAGAAGTTGGTTACAAGATTGTTGCAGTAGTGTAAAATGTATTTCAGGTAATTTTGTTCTGTGTGTGTGTGTGTGTGTGTGTGTGTGTGTGTGTGTGTGTCTGTGTGTGTATATGTGTGTGTGTCTGTGTGTGTATGTGTGTGCGTGTCTGTGTGTGTGTATATGTGTGTGTGTGTGTATATGTGTGTATATGTGTGTGCACGCGCGCGTTTGTGTCCCTTTTCCTTTCTTTCAGACAGGGTGTCTCACAGAAGCCGGAGATAGAATGACAGCCAGGAAGCACCAGAAATACTCCTGCCTGTTCCCCCAACATTGTATTATGGCAAGTGTGAACAACTCTATCCAGATGTTTTTATGTGAGTGAGCAGATTCAAGCTCAGGTCTACTGCTTCCCAGCAACTGTTCTTCCCCACTGAGCCATTAACTATCTGAAATTAGTCTTATAAAGCTATTTGAAATGATGTGTTGACTTTGTTTGCAAATCTCACATATGGAAATCACAATATATGGCCTGTAAGTGTGTAGATAATGATGGAATTTAATATTTTAATCATACTGTGTATGTATTTTGAGGAAATAAACTGTAAAAAAGATAATGGCCTATAATCTACACTTGTATGTTTTATCTTAACTTTATAATATTTCTAGGCCATGTACTATACATGTAAGCTTTATACAGCTGACACAAATCTTTAAGGAAAATCCTTTTTTCACAAGGTCAATGTCAACGAGTCATTCTGTACATGAGAGGCTGTCTCCAGCTCAGCTACTAGTGGAGACATAATGAAGTGTTGGTTCAAGTTTGGGCCAAGATACTGCCCTAATTTATGTCATGTCACTGGTGGTTTCAAAAGATCAATCTGATGGCCACTGTCAGTCACTCTTTTAACTTCTTCCTTACAATCCCTAAGGTTTGGAACAACCATTTCTGGGTTTGTTGTTGTTCTAATGTGCATAGCCTTGCTCTGTTTATGAGATTTCCTCTGACTGACTTTGAGTTCAGCTCTTTCGTCTCTCTTCACATATCCATCAGGAGCCCTTTAGCTTTGTCCACCAGATAAAGGACTGAACCATGTAATCTACTAAGAGTTGAATTACTGTCTGGGTACATTGTCCCCAAGAACGGTTCTATATTCTTTACTCTCAATGGTCTTATCTTTCCAGTGAGTTTGGTGAGGAAGAGATAACAGGAAAACAAAAGAACTATCCAGACTGAGGGTGGGGCATGCCAGAAGGTTGTTATATTCTGTGGAAGGGAACCTCCAAGAATCTATGGGTATCTAGGCAAAGAATGCAGAATCAACATGGCACTTGGGAAACAAGGGGGAAACTTCTGGAGAAAGATAAAAGGCAAGAAACTGTATGAAGGGATACTGAAGTGCATGAGACTAGAGGTGAGGTCTTGGGGCTCTGTAGGACACACTACTCACAAATAGGAGACCGAGAGTACAGTGAGTAACACAATGCATTAATCCTACCAATACTGCCTGTCATGGTGGAGCCAAACACAGCTAAACAAATAGTAAACTCAAGAGAAGCCGACACACTTGTGGCAAACAAGAGACTCCATCCTAATGAAGAGGCTCCAGGAAAGTTATTTCTAAGAGTATGAACTCCTTCCCCTAAATAAGACAATACAGGTAAGGTTATAACAAGTAAAGGCACAAATAGTGACAACACAGAGGTCAGATACTGCCCTATGACCAGATGGGTGCCAAGAGAGCAGATACCCAAGTGCTTATAGTCCGTAAGTTCTAGGAACAAATGTAGTTTTTACCAGAACTCCTAAACCCATGTTCTGAATATTGGAGGTTGAACCAAGAATTTCTGAAAGGGGGTCAAGCATGTGCTAGATTTCGGATCACATCCCACCTAACAGGTCAGAGGCTCCAAGATGGATGTCGGACCTGTAATCTCCCTTGTCTCAGCCATCTTGTATGTCAGTATGGGGTGATGAACACCAACTTTGAAGTCCTTACTCCCAGGACATTGCAGCCTTGGGGTTTTTATGGAACAAAAAGCCACCTGTGTAAAGCAGTGATTCACGGGGAAGAGAGGATCATGAAGTGCTGCTACAGACCTGGAAGGAGAAGGGAGAGAACCTGCTTCTCCGCATCTGTGGGATTACACGATAAGAACTTAAGTTGGCTCTGACACAGGTTCATACTCAAAAGTGAAAATGACACTTTATTGACTCCATGAATCTGAAACAGAGTAGACTTGTGTCCTCTGGGTGTGCCCCTGGGGTTTATCTTGATTAGATTAAGTTAGATGGAAAGACCCCTGTGGGTACAATCCTTCCCTTGGTTGGGATCCTGGACTGTATAAACATAAGAAAAGTCAGCACAGTACATTCACTCATTTTTCTTTGCTTCTGGGCTCTGGTTGAAATGCCACTCTCCCTTGAGTTTTTGCTTCTATCTATTGCTTCCCAATTATGAACTCCAAACTCAAACTCCAAACTCAAACTCAGTGGCAAAGTAAACCTTTCCTTGCTAACTGCATCTGGGAAGGTGATCCTAACAAAACTCTCAAGGAGGGCCTATACAAATAGTCAAACTCTTGGGCATTGGTGTGGCAGAGGAAGAACGTTATGTGTTCTGGGAAATACAGACTCTGAATAACACAGGCAAAGCATACTCAACCCTGCCATCATTAACCATTATGCATTTGAAAGAGGGAAAGTACAGAAACTTCATGTTTCTGTGTCCTTACTGATCCACTCCCTTAGCCTTCCAAGCACAAGTTCTAAGATGACCACCCCTAGAACCCTCTCTCAAGGGACCTGACTGAGTAGGAATGCTTTTATCTAACTCCATCTTCATCCTCACTCTTGAGACTTCAGACATTAACAGATCACTTGTGAGACTTTGCACATCTGTATCATCTACATCTGGGACAAAGTGACTGTGAGGGTGACTCTGTCATTCACGTCTACCTGAGGTGAAGCCACACTCTCTCATACATGATAAGTCTCACCTTGTCTTCTGTTTACCATTAATCAATGAAGGGCAAAGGTGATCTTTAACTGCATATTTAAATTCTGTGGTTGTATTTCTACTGAAGAGCTAGACAAATAAATAGTATCTACATATTAAAAACTACAGCAAAACATCTCCATAGATTTACATGTAGTGCATAGCATAAAGGGCATCTATTACACATAACTGAACATAATTACTGAATTCCCTCAGTACCTTTTGTTTTAATATCTTCTGTTTTTCTGGAGGTGCCAGCGATGTCTTGAGGTTTGTCCTCATTAAGGGGGACCATATGCTGCTTTCGATACATTTCTTTTACCATGGCACGAACTGGGAATGAATTCACAACAGGGAGAGTTACGTCAATTTCATGCAGATAAACAGGAAACTGATACTAGTTAAGTGTTTGTATATTTGATCTCCTTTTTATTTTCAGGTAAGTCACTATAATTAGAATGGTGTTTCAAGAAGATCACTGGGTTCAGTGTCCAATTAATTATGCATGACACGATGAAGTAGGTAAAGTCTATGATAGATCACATGATGTTGTAGGTAAAGTCTAAATTGATATAGATGTGGCAACAGAGAAAGAAGAGCAGCATGACTATGTTGGTGTGGTGTCTTATAGGCAGCATTCAAATCCCATTTAGAGCATCATGACACAGCTAAATCCATGCAATCCCGCTGTGGTCACATCTTTGCACCAGTGAACTAAAACTTTCATGAGGACCCCCAGGAGTCTTATCAGTGTAACACAAAAATATATAATGTTAAAGCATAAGGAAAAGCACAAGAACGGCACAAGTGTTCCATGCTGTTTGTGAAATGAGAAAACAACTAGACAGGAATGACTGAATCCTGAGCAAGCTTAGTTTTCCACAGGACAATGACCAATGGTTGTTCACTTTTTATTCTTTGCTCATCCAGGATATTTTACAGTTCATGAAGAACATATGGCATCACGTTAAGTGAGTTTGGAAGGTAAGCATCTGTGTATTCCTCTAACTTTTTAACCTTGGGTACCATATTAGTTTATGACTATGATGTTCTGACCGAATTCCTTGACATAAATAACCAAAGAGAAAGATGCTCTGACTTTGATCTCTGATTCAAATTATGCATTTCCTCCAAAATAAGTTGTAGAAGGTCCCTCAATTAGTAAACACAGCCTTTCGCCAGCATCCTCATCTTGCCAGCAAGTGATTCTGATCATCAAGCACCCACACTTATGCTTGTGTGTCTTCCATGATGACTAGACTCCAAGTTATTCTAAATGAAATTGTCACATCAAGGTTGGAAAAAAAGTCCTCTTAAATTGGCCAACTCTGTATAAATGCTCAACGTGAACTGACATGAAAAAGGATTTGGTGCTTCGTGCTGTAATGACTCCCTCTAGGTGCTAATAGATAAGAGAAAGGCAGTGGCTACTCAAGCAATGAGTGTGGACCACATCTGCTCACTGTTTGCTCATCCAAATTTTAAAAAGACTTAATTCTTTGAGAATTCCATAAAATGTATTTTAACCATATTCATCCCCACTATCACCCTAACTCTCTTGGTTCCATTCATATCACTCCACTCATTATTAGCTTTGTGTTCTTTTTATTTTCCCTAAAAACCCACCAAGATCAATTTGTGTTGATCATATATGCATGAGCATGTGGCTATCCTCTGGAATTTAGTCATCCTGCTAAGGGCAAAGCCAGTTTGTATACACTCTCTCCATCAACAGATCTTTATGGGGGCCTCTTCTATTACATTTCATTACTTTTGTTTTTTTTAATGGTTATTTGTTTCCTTTTGTTGGTGAAAAAGGCCTCTAGCCTAGGCTGGGCTAAAATTCACTATTTAAAAAGGGCTGGTCTTGAACTTATGGCTTTCCTGAATCCACCACTCTAAATCAAAGATTGTGCAATCATGGGTACATTCTATGGAGTACTTGGCACAAAACTAGTTTTTATGACATGATAGGTATGTACTAAGCCAATCCCCATAATAGCGCCACTTAACACATCAGCTCACTAGTGAAAGCCTGTACATGCAGACACACCAAAGTGGACAAAATGACACCCAGTGACACTCTTCCCTGCTGACTATGTAGATCCACCGAGAGTAAAAATGTAATAGGCAACATGGAGTCTAACTACCCATGACAGGAAGTAGCCTTGTTGCTCAGAGTCTAGCTCTCCTTTAAAAGTACATTGATGGCTGCTTGCAGAAGACCTGTACAAGATCAAAGAGGTCAACACTGGCTTGTAGAGAAGCTGTTCTCACCCCTAACTGAGAAGCTATTGGTAATTTATGGCTTCTATTTGAGGGAGGGGGACAGTTTGAATTAAATGTGTTGACCCTGGAAGGTCAACCCCTTGTCAGTGGATGCCCCTACATGTTTGAGTATATGTTTAGCATAAAATGGGCTACAAAGTTATTTTTTATGGATATAAATTTGGGAAAAGGTAAAAAGGGAGAGTAGATTTGCAAGAGTCATGAGATATAAATGAGCAATTTATAGTGCATAAATTTGCCAAAATTAATAAAATTATATTAACAATTTAAAAAGAAAAATTTAAATGTATTTCTTGAATAATGATTCAGCACAGATCATTAAACAAATGACTAGAATTCTCAGTGGACACTGTACTTAAATTTTGTGGCTCTTTGTGACCATGTTGATGTTGTCTAATCTTCTATTTTTTTTTGCTAGATCTTACTGGAATGAAGCATGTCTATGATTAATCAAGTTGGGACATATCCACCCAACTTTCCCATATACTGTATTTCATTTTCAGACTTTGTCACCTGAAAAGACGTATGTATGCTTCTCTACGTCTCAAAACTGTGACTATGTGCTGCATGCTGAACGACACTACCTACGACTTCTATCCACTACAGTAGTCATTGTAGTGTTTGGGATCCCTATGGATTTGCTTTATTGCAGGCAGATGCAATAAAGCAGAACTTTCCCACAGGAATTATGATACTCTTTATGGGATAAGAAGTGGCTCTTCAGATGCATAGATATGGAGGCTTATGACTGTCTCTATGCTCTGGTTTATTCATATATGAAGGAACACAAGCATGTAAGCCCACCCTGCCTGGATGTGGTGAAGTTTAAACACATTTTTGTAGATAAACTGTATTCTGATTTTTCAATTTACAAACTTATCACTAGAAATTGGGTTGGGTAGTTGGGATGTTTTTCTTTGGGAAAAAATTTAGATATGACTTGGTGAACAAATCCCCTAAATAACTAAAGGAATCATAATTGAACATGACAACCATAGACACATGGCCATGATTTGTTATTTGGGATATCACTTTCTTTAAAATCAAAACAAAAATATAAAAACCTGTAATTCTCACTATCTTAGATCACAGTGGTCCATCACAAAAGACAACCAGTATTCATACAATTCCCACCTAAAATGTGTCTTAGAGAGTGAGTCTATAGTACATACCACATCTGCGTCTTTTAAATATCATCTGTAATTGAAAGGAAAAAAATTAGATCATGTTGAATAATGTCTGTAAGGTCTTTGGTCCTTCCATAGTTGACATAATCAGTATAGAAAAGAGCAGTCATGTGGAGCCTATATTAATGGGCTCCTTATTTGATGATGTAACAGAAGATCTGGGAGTCTGTCTGTCTTTTGTGCTAAAGACTAATAATGCTCATATTTTTTCCAATTAAAGGGCAGATCAGGAAAACCTGTTTGGCCTCTACTGAAGGCTCCCTAACTTACATTACATACCCTCTATAAAAACTTGTATTTTTCACTAAGATATTTTCTGTTTCTAGGGCCTATGGTAGAAATAATTTGAGAATATGATCCAAAGTTTGATGTGTCAGTAGCTTAGTGAGTACAGCAACATTAGGACCTCTAAAACATGATGTACCTGGCTGGAGAGATGACTCAGATGTTAAGAGTATTGGCTGCTGTTCTAGGGGACCCAGGTTTAATTCTCAGAATCCACATGGCAGCTACATACCCAACTGAAACGTTAGTTCCAGGGCATATGATACCCTCATACAGACATATATGATCATACTGGGATTTGATTTCCAGCACCCACATGGTGCTTCTGTCCTCCTTGATACCAAGTTCACACATGGTGCAAATATACACATGCAGGCAAAATATTTAATCATAAAAAAACCACCACCACCACAAAAAACATGATCACTTTAATGATTAAAATGTGATGCCCATTGAAACTTAAGGGAACCACTGAGGTAACCTGTCTACCTCAGAGAGAGGAAAGGCCCTCTTACCTTCTCTGTCTTCCCCTGTGACTTTTGCTGGCCCACTGGTGAAGCTGGGCTGTTAGAATGTTCAGGGGATACTAGGGGGACAGAAAGTGACAGTCAGCTCACAGGACTGCTTACTATTTACACTGGTCTTTACTTGATGTGAGTAAAAGTGCATTTACTTGGTACATGTGACTAAATCTAATGAACAAGATGGTCTGTTGCTGCTAGACTGCCTTCCCATAAAGTAAACAAAGGCAACAGGATGTACCTTCGTACATCTAACAAAAGTCTGATCCAGATGACCTACAGAGATTCAAATGTCTTTCCTGGCATATTGCCCCTGAGAAGAATTCTGTTCAGTTCTCTTCTGGTGATCTTGTCACAGTCTCATGAGTTTTGTGATGAAAAGACATTTAGTGAATACAAAAAAGTCCATCTAGTACATCAAGGGTTGAGGCTGCAGACATGCCTGGTGTTTGTCCACATTGCATGAACAATGCATTCCAGTATGCAGCATCAACAGGAAGGTAGCAGGTAGAAGAGACCACATAGGCCTCCCTGAATCTCCAGACCTATAGTCCTGAGTCAACAAGGAGATTATGAAAGAGGAGAAGTGGCTATAGAGGGATAGGGGCAAGAGGCAATAAGGGAGATTGAAAGAAGGGACTAGAAGTGGAATCCTGTGTCTCTGTCACATATGGGTCCTAAGCAGGAGCCTGACTTTACAATCAATAAACACTGTGCATTAAATCTATAGGCCTAGTCTATGATTGGTTCCAAACCCACTTGCAAAATGAGAGAATCCAGTAGAAGCAGACACAATTCTGAGGAGCCTCAGCTACGAACCTACTCAAGAAGAAATAATGAAGCCCCTGTGAGGAAAAAGATTCCTTGTATTATAACCTCATGTTGCAGAAGAGAGACAGGTCAGATCATGCCAAGAGTGAGACATTCAAGTACTGATACCACAGAGGACAGACATAGCCTAAGATCAGATGGGTACCAGGAGAGTTGATCCCCATGAATCCATGTCCTTTATCCTGAGGAATAAACTCAGGACAACTCTCAAACCCAGCCTCTGTATCTTGGAGGTTGAATCAAGGGAGCCTCAAAAGGCACTAAGGATGAGTCAGAGTGCAGACTTTTTCTTACTCATTAAGTCAAAGGATCCAAGATGAATATCAGGCTCTAACCTCTCTTGACTCAATCATATAGCATGCAGTCCAATATAGGGAGCATATATTGAAAAGAAGCAAAAGACATACATTAATTATATCCTTAATTTTCAGGACATTACTAGTGTTGCAATGAAGCCAGATTAGGGAACCCTGCTAGCTATTTAGCAGTTTACCCTGTGGATGTCCTTTAAAGAAGGACAAAATGGTCAACAGATGACCAAGAAGGCACTACTACAAAAGTTTCCAAGGAGACCCAGGGAAAGTATCTGCTTATTCTGTATCACCAGGACCAGTTTGTAAGACCTTTATTTACATGTGTATATCAGTGTACAGAGGAGGTGGTCTTCCATCAGAAAGACTGGGTTTACCATAGATTAAAACCCCAACCGATTACTACCTTTTGGGGGCTTTGTGATGGTTAATCTTAAAAGTCAAGATGATAAGGGCCAGATCTCTGGGTCATGGCAGTAGGGCATTATCTTGACAGAGTTACTGAGGAAGTAAACTATCCACTGTCAGTGGTATTGTTCCTGGGGCTGAGATCCACAACTATATAAGGAGAAGGTGAGCAGAGCATAAGCCCTCCTTTGCCTTGTTCTTGTTGCATTGGACCTGTGCCTCAGGCTCCTGGATCTATGGGTTCTTAGCAAATATGCACACCACACTCATGACAGCATGGCAA